CTCTCACCTCCTCCTCCCAAAGTGCTGGGACTACAGGTGTGAGCTACTGCACCTGCCTTCTTTTTGTTTTAAACCATGTGTTGAGTTCACATGCACTGAACATAATGCTAAGTATCTGACACATATCGTTTTTTTATTCTTCAAAACAACTAAGTACCAATATATTTTACACTTTGAAGATAAAGAAACAGATACATGGAGAGTCATGTGTAAGGTCAGCAGAAACAGACCTGACTCTGCTCTCTGAGCATCTAAATTACACCTTAAAAAAACCAAATACATTTTACTTCTTTCTTGGAGTTAGTTCTAGAAAATGGAAGTTAGACATCTTACTAGAGTCCACTGATTTCCTTTAACCTGTGCAACTCATGTAACTTACTCTTCAGGTTGCCATAAATAATACTTATGCCAGTCATAAAAGGAGACTGGGTAAGTGTGGATGAACAGATGATATTTAATACCACCGGGAAACGGATTTGCTTGAAGAAAGATAAAACAATAAAAATTGAACCAAGCTACTGTCTTCAGCTGATAAACCAAACCCTTTTGAACATTTTAAAATCTCTCTGAAGCCTTTTCTATTTTTGTCAATTTCCTTATTTAAGATTTTATCTTGTGACTTAGCATTCTTAGAAAGAGGAAAGTAGACCGGGCTCGGTGACTCAACCTGTAATCCCAGCGCTTTGGGAGGCCAAGGCGAGTGGATTGCCTGAACCCGTGAGTTCGAGACCTACTTGGGCAACTTGGCGAGACCTCATCTCTACAATATATCAAACATTTGCCGGGTGTGGTAGCGCGCGCCTATAGTTCCGGCTACTTGGAAGGCTGAGGCAGAAGGATTGCCGGAGCCCAGCAGGTCGAGGCTGCAGTGGCTGGGAGCGTGCCACTGCCCTCCAGCCTGGGTGACAGAGTGAGATTCCAACTCAAAAAAATTTAAAAAAAAAAGAGGAAAGTATGAAACAAGGTAAAAATAGTTCTGTTATTTGGATTATAAATTTTTACTGGGAATTTACTGTCAGAAAAACTGGAAATATAAAGTCCTGTGTAAAAAGACAAATTCAGCTGGTGCAATGGCTCATGCCTGTAATCCCAGCACTTTGGGAGGCTGAGACGAGAGGATTGCCAGGGGTTCAAGACCAGCCTGGACAACTTGGCGAGACCTCGTCTCTACAATAAATAAATTTTAAAAAATTAGCCAGATGTGGTGACATGTGCCTATGGTTCCAGCTATTTTAAAGGCTGAGGCGGAAGAATTCCAAGTCCAGAAGGTTGAGGCCGTGGTGGCTGTGAGTGTGCCACTGCATTCTAGCCTGGGCAACAGAGTGACACTCTGACTCAAAAAAATAAAATAACATAAATAATAAATGAAGACAATTCCATGACTACACAGAGAAACACAGGTTTTGCTTCACTTGGGATAGATACATCAAACATCTATTCATGGTTTAACGGCTTACTACCATGTTCCTGCATTTTAGCAGATTTCGTGCATTTTAATAATGCCCAGCACCTTGGAATTTGCATATCTCCCAGACTCTTCCTCCTACAAGGAGGAACATGCAAGCAGGTTTAGTAACACCTCAGATATGGATGTGGCAGTGCTTTCTGATTCTCCTATTCATTCCTTCATAACCTTTATGTTTAAAAAACACTGCGCAATGAGCATCTTTCTCCAAGCTCAGAAGAGGGACAAGTAAACAAAAGTGTCAGATACAACATCCCTCTGGCCTGACGGCGGCCCCTACAATTCTCCCAGATACATGCCTATGCTTTCTTTAATGTTTTTATCCTTGGTCACATGATTTTAAACCCCAAATTTGAATATCCTTCATTAATATAGTGCTAGAATATTACTGATGTTCAGTGGGGTTTAGTATGCATTTTTAAAATATCTATATAAGCTGATTAAGACAGCAGTTTATGAGCATCATATAGGAAAGGGTAACTTGGGAACAAACTCACTGCTGGGGACTAGTATTTCCAAGCAGCCGCTGCTGTGAAGCCACACTGTGTCCTCAACTCTAAGCCAAAACTGTGATGTCTTCTGGCATGGAAAAAAAAAAAATTCCTTCCCACACGCTGCTAAAGCTTCCTCAAAATGCTAAATGCAGACACACAAAGTCCTCAAACACTTCAGGCTTCTCATAGTGAAGAAGACAGATGTCTTCAACACCGCATCCAGATAAACTTAATTCCCATCATCAAGCCTGGGCAAACTTAACAGACAATGTGAACAAACAGGGTGTATTCAAAGCCTTTGGACCTGAACAGAAACAGCAGATAGATGTTATATAATTGTAACATTCAGATGCCTCCTGTACGTCAAAAGCCACACCTTCCCTGAGTTCTAAATTTATATTGCAGCTTAGCAAAAATAAAGGTATTTTATGTGCTTATAAACTAAGATTTCTAGTCTAACTTAGAATGATTTCACTAAATTTTTTTTTGTTTTAATCTTCTCTTTCCTTCATTTCAAACTTATTATTATTTTTTGAGTTGGGGGTCTCACTCTGTCACCCAGACTGGAGTGCAATGGCCGCTCCCAGCCACCGCAGCCTCGACCTGCTGGGCTCCGGCGATCCTTCCACCTCAGTCTTCCAAGTAGCTGGAACTAGAGGCGCGCGCTACCACACCCGGCTAATTTTTGATTTGTTGTAGAGATGAGGTTTCATCAAGTTGCCCAGGCGAGTCTCGAACTGGCGGGCTCAGGCAATCCACTCACCTCGGCCTCCCAAAGTGCTGGGATTACAGGCTGAGTCACCGAGCCTGGCCCTCAAACTGTTATTGAATAGCAAGCCTAACCAACATGAGACATGAATAATTCCTACAGAATAAAACAAATGGAATTACTATTTTTCCTCCCATTTTTGGCATAGAAAATTTCCTCTTTGCTTAGTAAAAACAAGGAAAAACCTAAAGACATATCTTGAAGAAACACAGTCACTCAAGTGTGGCAGGTGACAATGCCCCAGGAACACTGTTCTCCTGATCTCTAGTGACCAATCAGTCAAAAGTCTAAATTGGCCAGGCATGGTGGCTCATGCCTGAAATCCCAACACTTTGGGAGGTGGAAGTTAGAGGATTGCCTGAGCCCACGGGTTTGAGACCAGTCTGGGCAACTGGCAAGACCTCGTCTCTACAATAAATCAAAAATTAGCTGGGTTTGGTGCCATATGCCTGTGTGATTCTAGCTTCTTGGAGGTGGAAGGATCACCTGAGCCCAGCGAGTCGAGATTGCGGTGGCCACAAACATGCCACTATACTCTAGCCTGGGCAACAGAGTGAGACTACAACTCAAAAAAAAAAAGAAAAATCTATATTGAAGATATCTGGTGAACATGGTGGCACGTGCCTGCAGTCCCACCTACTGGAGAGACTGAGGCAGGAGGATGACTAGAGCCCAGGAGTTCAAGGTTGCAGTGAGCTGTGATTGCACCACTGCACTCCAGCCTGGGAGACAGAGGAAGAACTTGTCTCAAAAAACAATAAAATATATTTTAAAAACAACCAAAAACTTAAGGTACCTGCAAGGCATTACCACTGCACAGGGCACAAAGAATTTCTAGAAAGTGCCCATCTCACTCATCATTTTCTATGAGCATCAAAAAGTTTTCCTAAACCTCTGTACTGTTATTTGCTTATTCACCTAACATATCTGGTAGAAGTCTGCTAAAATAATGATGTATCCACCCCTATATATATACTTTTAAGAATCACTAAAGGGGCCAGGCGCAGTGGCTCACGCCTATAATCCCAGCACTTTGGGAGGTCAAAGTGGGAGGATTGCCCGAGCTCAAGGGTTCGAGACCAGCCTGGGCAACTTGGCAAGACCTCATCTCTACAGTAAATCAAGAAAAATTAGCTGGGTGTGATGGCGCATGCTCTTTCTCTGGTGCAAATTTCTCTCTTTTCTTTCTTTCACTAATAAACTGTTTTAAAACATTAGCCGGGTTAGCCGGGCATAGTGGCATGTGCCTGTAATTCCAGCTACTTGGAAGGCTGAGGTGGAAGGATCGCCTGAGCCCAGCAGGTCAAGGCTGCGGTGGCCAGGAGCCTACCACTGCCCTCCAACCTGGGCAACAGAGTGAGGCTCCAACTCAAAAAAATTTTTAAAATAAAATAAAAAATTAGCCAGGCACGCTGGTTCACGCCTGTAATCCCAGCACGTTGGGAGGTGAAGATGAGAGGATTGCCTGAGCTCAGGGGTCGAGACCAGCCTGAGCAACATGGCGAGACCTCCTCTCTATAATAAATTAAAAAATCAGCCAGGCATAGTGACGCATGCCTGCAGTTCCAGCTACTTGGAAGACTGAGGCGTAAGGATCACCTGAGCCGAGCAGGTTGTGAGCATGCCACTCCCCTCCAGCCTGGGGGTCAGAGTGAGACTTCAACAAAAAAAAAAAAATTTGTTTTTTTAATTTTAAGAAAAGAAATTCCTGCATGCAGGCGGTCTGTGCTGTCATCTCTTTCTTATCCTTTAGGTGTTTTAGTCCCCTCAGGTCCTCTGGAATGAATGTGGCATTAAGGATGGCAAGCCCTCCCCAATCAGTAGGGCAGCCTCTAGAAACCGATGCCCTCCCTTGGGCAGAATGGATTGGTTCCAAATAGCCCAAAGGAATACATATGTAAAAAGATGAAATTGACACCGGGCTCGGTGGCTCAGACTGTAATCCCGCACTTTGGGAGACTGAGGTGAGTGGATTGCCTGAGCCTGCGGGTTCGAGACCCGCCTGGGCAACTTGGCGAGACCTCCTCTCTATAATAAATCAAAAATTAGCCGGGCATGGTATTGCGCGTCTGTGGTTCCAGCTACTTGGAAGGCTGAGGCGGAAGAATCACTGGAGCCTAGCAGGTTGAGGCTGCAGTGGCTGGGAGTGGCCACTGTACTCCAGTCTGGGTGAAAGAGTGAGACTCCAACTCTAAAATAAATAAATAAATAAATAAAAGAAATTGACATGGACCTTTCTCTTGATAGGCTTCTTTTGTTTATTTTTTAATAGTGCCTTTGAAGATGAGTCCATGAAGCTTCGACAGCTGAAGCTGGATAACCAGGTGGGCAGAGTCTCTGCTTTTGGAAGAGGTGGCCAGCTGTACCGACTGCCGTGATGTGGATGGCACAGGCTTGCCAGGACTGTAGAGAGAAGGCTCCGGTGGTCACTCATTAAGCAGTGTTTATAGTTAGCGGTTGCTGAACCAAGGCTCTGGGCCATGGCAAGACCGAAGTGCTCGGAGGATGTCAGCAGTAAAACTGGCCTTGGATTTATAGTCACTGAAAATGCCCTGGCACCTTTCAAAGGAATTAGAAGAATGTTAACATTGTATTTGTATGTAGTAATTTGATTCTGCTACCTTAAATGCCTCTCGACATGATGATTTCATTTAACTACCAGATTGTGTTCTTATTTCATTAAATGAAATCTGTGGTTCAGCTATCAAGTATAAGACATTAGTGTTTGATTTTTATACATAGATATAGTCTGGATTTTTAAAAGATGGCTCTAGTATTTTGTAATTTTTATTATTTTCAGTGAGAATGCTATATATAGTATAAATGTTGGGGCTTTTGAAGCTTTTTTTTGAGTTGTGTTCTCACTGTGTTGCCCAGGCTGGAGTGCAGTGACATGGTCATGGCTTACCGTAGCCCCGATTTCCTGGGGTCAGACAATCTTTCTGCCTCAGCTTTCCGAGTAACTGGGACTACAGCCATGCACTACCATTCGCTGCTTTTTTTTTTTTTTTTTTGTAGAGACGAGGTTTTCCTATGGCCTCAAACAATTTGCCCACCTTGGCCTCCAATGTGCCAGGGATAACAGGTGTGAGCCACTCTGCCCAGCCTTGCAAACCTTTTATATCTTAAAATTTTTAATAATAATAATAATTAGTATTATTATTATTTTGAGTTAGAGTCTCACTCTGTCGTGAAGACTGGAGTGCAGTGGCATGCTTCCAGCCACCACAGCCTCAACCTGCTGGGCTCTGGCAATCCTTCCACCTCAGCTTTCCAAGTAGCCAGAACTACAGGCGCGTGCTCCCATGCCCGGCTTATTTTGATTTATTGTAGAGATGAGGGCTCGCCAAGTTGCCCAGGCAGGTCTTGAACCCGCAGGCTCAGGCAGTCCACTCGCCTTGGCCTCCCAAAGTGCTGGGATTACAGACTGAGCCACTGAGCCTGGGCTAATTATGTTTTTTATAGGTAATAAAAATATATGATAAGAGTTCAAACAATACAAAAAGGTGTTTGATGAAAAGTCTCTCTTTGGCCAGGTGCAGTGTTTAAACTTCAGTCACATTCAAAGCATTCTCTGTTTGAGGCAAGACACCTATCAAGATGCTTTTTTCACTGCTCAAAACTGGTTTTGAACTTGTTAGTTTGGATGCCTGTTAGTACTGCTGCCGTTTTTTGTTTTACGTCTTCCACATCAGCACGTTTCCCTTTGAGGACCTTTTCATGGGGGAAACGAAAGTCACCCAGGGTGAGACGTGAATAGGAAGGGTAGGCACAAGGATCAGGCTGTTTTGGTCAAAAACTGCTGAACACTCAGCGTGGTGTGGGCAGCTGTGTCGTCATGGTAGAGCCAGTCACCTGTTTGCCACTTCTTGGGGCGTTTCTTCTGCAAATCGTGATGCAGTCTTCTCGAAACTTCCAAGTAAAAACTTTGGTTGACCGTTTGATCCAGGTGAACAAATTCTGAGTGTACTCCCAGGGGCCCGCCCACCAAAAGGTAATTCCAGGGTTTTTTGGGTCTTCCCTCATAGTTTGCTAAAGTCACCAAAGTTAATTAGTGTCATGAAGATTGGTTCATGTTAATCAATCTCATAAGTGATGGCTGTGAATCAGGAGATTAATTTCTAATGAACTGTATGCGAGAATTGGCTGGTCATGAGATTCTCGATAGAAAGTGGGAAGTTTGCAGTCAGAAAGTGGCTTGGTGTGTTTGAGATCGGAGCCAGTAGAGTTTGTGTATAGTGATGATCATTAATACATGGTGGTATGATTAGTTCACCTCTTCTGAAGGGATATACCTGCCACCGAAAGGAGGCACATGAGTGGCCAGGACGCTCTCCCTACCCCAGGAAGGACTAGGGAAACAGGGTGCATCTTGCTTGCTCCTGTCTCTTGGCTCATTCTTTCATCATCCAGGTCACAGTATTACTGGCTAGATTCTTGTTTCATCTCCATCATGTTTTCCTGATATTATAATCTTAGAGTTTAATGTTTAAAAATTCCACATTAGCTGGGCTCAGTGGCTCAGCCTGTAATCCCGCGCCTTTGGGAGGCTGAGGTGAG